CCCCAAAACCCCAAAACCCCAAAACCCCAATTTCTACGAATTATTGAAACTGACGCTGAGGATATCTTCTTTGGACAAATAAGCAATCTGTTCGTCTTTCAGCAATCAGTTTTTGGATTAGTTTCCTCTCTTTTTGGGGAAAGACAGAGTCCTTCTCAAAGTACCTCTTGTTCGTCCTTTGGAAAGGAATCTTGTGACAAGCAAGCTCTGATGTATCTCTTGGAGTCCTAGGAACGTTTCTAAAGAGATTTTAGGGCTTTCAATCGTGTGATAAGTATTAAATACTGATTTGGTATTTTCAAGTTACAGAGTAATAAAAATGTTAAGAGAGTGTATTTACCTCAAACTCTTCATCCTAGAGATTGGCGCTTCTTTCCTGTTCTCCTTCATAGTGTTTTTTGTCGGTATTGAAAACTTGTACGGCTGAGATAAAGGAATAGATGTTTTAAAGGAATGGTCGACATTATCAATCAGCAGCTGCTTTGCCTTATCCATTGAAAATTTTGTGTCTAAAAGTAGTCACAATTATATATACCAGTAATCTTTTCTTCAGCTCGATGCTTTGGCCTTGAGCTTCTCTGGTTCTTCCTTGGCACACTTGCTAGATTCTTTCTGGGAATCAGGCTTTCGACTGACCTAGAAACCTTGAGTTGATAATCTCTAATCCTTTTGACTGCTTTGATTGCATTCCTAAATAATAAGGATTCTTGGTTACTGCTTTTCTTCTCTGATTAGGCTATTTCTCAGGGACTTGCTTGAAGAAATCCCTAACTTGGTCAAAGTCTTTCTCGAAATCTTTGTCTTTAGATTTTCTTATAGTTGAAGGATATGAAAGCTCCATTATCTTTTGCCTTAGGAGCTTCCGATTGTAATGAATCACTTCAGCCATAGACTTCATTACCTCTGTTGTAGTTCCATAGTCGCTAGAGAAGGTCAGATTATAACCTACTGCTTTCTGAGAATCCTACTCAAGTTTAATTCAGCTTTAGACTCTTCATTTCTTTCATCTTTTATTTTGTCTTGATAGAATTTTATGGTTTTATTTCAAATCAGCTTTATTTCTCTGAGATTAGAGAGATATTAAGAGGCTGTTTCTTGGTTCTAATTTGTTTTGAACTGAGATATCTGGTTTTTATTCCCTGGATTGGTTCGAAAATACTTTCCTTGTTACTAAAGTATCCTTGTGATTTGTTTATACTCACTAAACTCAAACAGACACATTACTCTGAGAATTCCTATTTCTTGCATTTTCAAATATTGAAACTAGCATTTTACTCCTTTTACACATCTCTTTGCTATTATCCCTTTTATCAGGTGTTTTTCCCTCTAAAATCAACCATACTCCCTACTCCTCTCAGTGTCCAAACTCACCACACTCCCCCTTATCTTCACACAAGATCTCTTCCTCTGCCTCTCTGGGTCCATTTCAATAATTTTTATCCCCCAAGGGGTTTTGGGGTTTTGGGGTTTTGGGG